ACAAAAAATCAAAGGCGACAGGTTAACCCACCAAAACAATGTCTCGCTTCTAACTGGAGTGGCACGTGTACATGATTCTGTACACAACCACTGGAAAGAAGTTGAAATTCTTCTAGACACCGGTGCGGACCAGTCCTTTATCAGCAACGAATTTGCACGGGATTTAGGACTTACATGCACGAAGCAGACTTCGTCATGTACATCTTCGGCCACAGAGGAACCGAAGCATACCAGGTCAGGCGTTATAGTGGTTGATCTTTGGATCAACAGGGAAAAAAGCATAACTTGCGCCTGTATACTGCACCAGTACTCACTGCAAAGAGCAAGACAGCACAATTGAGCGCGGCGGACTGGGCCTTCATTGCGCGACATGATATCCGTTTGTCAAAAACGGACTGTGGGAAAGCAAACAAAACCACAGATCTTACTGGGTTGTGACCAGCTATGGGACCTTTTGGACGTTTCATATCCACGTTTTGTTCTTCCATCGGGATGGCAACTCATTCCTTCAAAAGTAGGATATTTACTCACGGGAAAACGTGAGTATACGTCAGGAATGAGCAGTGAGGATGACACCAGGGTGATAGGGTCCATCAACACCCTAATGAATTTCGATGAAGAATTGGAAAGATGGGACAAGTACTGGACTGTGGATAATTCAGGCATTTGTGAATTCACAGGAACAAAAAGCGCAGAAAAAGAGGCGATCAATAAAAAGGTCGCAAAATACTTCGAGGATTCCATCGAGAAACGCGGCGACGGATACTATATCCGCTTCCCGTACAAGGAAAACTATTTGGAACTCCCATCTAATAAGGCCATTGCCCTTAAGCGCTTGCGCTCCGTGTTACAAGCGCTAGGTAAAACACCCACCCTGCTACGCGAGTATGATGACACCATTCGGGCGCAAAAGGAGAGTGGCATCATTGAGGAAGTTTCACAAGCGCTGCCTGCAATGGGGGAGTTAGTGCACTACATACCCCACCAACCAGTGTTGACACCACATAAGGAAACCACTAAATTGCGCATCGTGTTCGATGCATCGGCACACTTCAAAAACAGCCCACCACTCACTTAATGACATTCTTCATCAGGGACCGCTCATTTTGCCCGAACTATATGCGATGCTGTTACGTTTCCGCATTTCAAAGTATGTAGTCATTGCGGACGTAGAAAAGGCTTTTCATCAGGTGCACTTGCACGAGGCCGACAGGGACATAACACGATTTCTGTGGGTCAAAGGATATTGACGCACCCGTAGAGGACAGCAACATCGTTGTTTACCGTTTCACACGCGTGACTTTCGGACTGAATGTCTCCCCATATTTACTGGGAGGAACGATTCAGCACCACTTACGTTGTGCCGTAGAAGATGTCACGTTAGCTAATGAAATCCGAGACAATCTGTATGTAGACAACCTTATTCTCTCAGCGAATACGGAAGAAGAAGTTTCCCAAAAATCGATAGCAGCGCGCAATATCTTCAAAGACATGGGGATGAACCTGAGAGAATTCCTCTCAAATGAGACCACCCTGCGTAATATCCTACCAAGCGAGGCATGCGCCACGTCTGCAACCCAGAAAGTGCTTGGGATTACCTGGGACTCGAAGGTCGACTGTTTGCAAATTAGATGTTCCCTAGCACCTTTGGAAAACGTTACAAAAAGGATCATTGCAAGACAGATCGCTTCCGTATATGATCCTTTTGGCTGGCTTGTACCCCTGCTAACATTACCAAAGAAGTTCCAGCAAGATCTGTGGAGAGAAAACTTCTCTTGGGATGAACGTTTGCCACCAAGGCTAACCATGCAATGGAATGACCTAGTGGAGAACATAAGGGATTTCCAGAGAACCTTCCCACGGCAACTTTGTGCGGAATCGCGCAAAATAAATTTAGCAATCTTCGCAGACGCTAGTGAGATAGCGATTGCAGTAAGCGCTTATCCCTTTGATGGAGATCATTCAGCACTAGTGATGGGTGAAGGCAAGCTCCCCTACAACAACGCCCAAATCAGAAATGAATGCGCTCACAGTGGCGGTGCGCCTAGCGAACGCAATTTCGCGAGCCTTGAAAGAAAGAGTCCCCGGCTACCCCTGGACCACGCATTTTCGGATTCTCAAATTGCTTTATCCTGGCTGTCATCGCCTTCTAGCGTCAACGCCGTATTCTTGTGGCGAATAGACTCCGAGAGGTGCGATCGATCGTGAATCACCTTAAAAGAGGATTCAGTTACCGTCACTTTCAGATACGTGAAGACATCTGAAAATCCTGCTGACGCAGGAACACGAGGGCTCTCAAGGGTGGCGCTCGATGACCATTCTTGGTGGCACGGACCAAAATTCCTGAAAACACCCATAGAGCAGTGGCCGAATCCCATATACACTTTATACCAAGACCAATGCGCACCAGGTATAGAGGACGAAGGTGAACTTGCAACGACAACGTTGTCTGTCAAGAAAACCAAGCCGTCTGCACCCTATTTGATATAGGCCGTTACGGCACGTTTTCTACAGCGAAACGGGTCACCACCTTCATACTGAGGTTCATAAAACGATCAATGCGAAATATGAGTGAAGAAATTAGAACCAGAGTTTGTGAGCACATACCAGAACTCCAAGGCCATCTCTGAAGAGCCAGGCATCCTGAATGGGCAAGAAATAACGGCAGGAAGGTACGCTCTTATCCGCAACCATCAGTTAGTACTCCTCACAAAAGAGTACAGAAAAGCCATGGAGAGTACCTTACGCCTGTATCAAGATGAGCAAAAGATTTGGCGCTCAAAGGGTAGATTTGGCAATTCAGCACTGGGGTTTTGATGCCAAAGACCCGGTTTTCGTCGCGCAGAATACAGCGCTAGCGAATCTCATTATCCAGGAGCGCATGGCCCATATCATAGAGGTATAGAGCACACGATGGCGACCGTGAGAGAGAAGTATTGGATCCCTAAACTACGGCAACAGGTGCGCAAATACGTAGGCAAATGCATAAATTGTAGACGCTTCAATGCGCTACCTTACCATTACCCGGACACTACAGATTTACCAGAACGTCGAGTCTTGAGAAGCAGGCCGTTTGAACATACAGGTCTAGATTTTTTTGACCTCCCACCGTATGAAGATGAAGGAATCAAGACTAAACTGTATGGTTGCATTTTCACCTGCACTGTAACCCGCTTAATTCACCTTGAAGTAGTCCCAAGCTTAGCAATACAGGAATTTCTGAATGCGCTACGACGCTTTATAGCGCGACGAGGAGTTCCTAAAACAATCACTTGCGACAATGCTCCCACATTTTTGCTTGCGGCAAAAATTCTGGAGTGATAGAGGCGATAAGCTAAATGCGGAGACCATCAGCAGTATCACTAACAGAGATCGAGGAGGGATCCAAGGAGAGGAAAGATCCAATGGAAACATATCACTCCGTATGCACCTTGGCAAGGGGGCTCTACGAGCGCCTTCATCAAGTCAATCAAACATGCAATTTATAAGGCCTTGCGAGGCGCAAGACACCGCTCCCTTGATGACATCCAGACCTTTGTCACCGAAGTTGAGGCATGCCTCAACTCGAGACCCCTTACCTACCGGGGCAGTCCAAGAAGAACTCAACTCGCTCGACCAATTGACTTTGTCCAGCGGGACCTGAATCTCACTATATCTCTCGATAATGGTCGAAATGAAGCACATGACCCGGATTATCTCCCATCGAACGAATTGCACGCGCTAGAAAATAGACAGCAAGCCATAGAAGCGCTACATTCATCGTATCAAAAAACTGAGCGTTTCTGGAATATATGGCAACAACAGTACTTAACATCCTTGCGCGCAACCCACAATAAATGTCTAGCCGTCGTTTAGGTCGAGCGGTACCAACTCCGGGAGACGTAGTTTTGGTCAGCGACCCGGTACTCCCAGGAATGAATGGAGAATGGCTAGGATCACTAGTGTGCGTCATGGCGCTGATGGAGAAATACGTGAAGCAGAACTAATAACGGCGACAAAAAGAAAAATGCGTCGGCCAGTTAACCTCCTGGTCCCTCTCGAGTTACAGGGCGCAGAGGAAACTGATAGTTCACCCCACCAAGAGGATTCTCTAGGAGATCAACCTCCACAAGGACAAACCATTCCCGCGCATGACTACAACTTGCGAAAGAGAAAGAATGTACGTTACATCCACAACACCGCAACTTCAATGAAAACCTCTCCGAGCGAGAGCCCAAAATGGTTCCTATTCCATTTGATGATCCTCAGTTTGCTAGCCACCGTCACCAGCATTCCTGCTAAGGGAATGCACGTCTCCTGCGCTGATAACGGGAGTGCTCGTGCGCGCGCAAAAGGGGCAAGATTTTGAAATTTGCGCAGAGCGATACTGCAAAATACAACGCTTCGAGTCAGATCCGCACCTTGTCCAATTCCCACTGGAGGTGACGATCCGTGACTACAGAGTTCTTGTAAAATGGAACGTGGAAAACCATTTAGCAACGATGCAAATGCGGTGTAAAGGGCTTGATTTCTGTGAAAATATCGGCTGTGGGATCTGTTTACCTGTCCTATTGAATCCCGAATGTTGGCCGGTGGGAGCCATCATAACACTTGCCCTATGCCTTTATTCAATCGTAGGCATCATCTACGTTTTCCTTTATGTACCAATAAATATAGGGAAGCCGATACGAATCATTCTGAAAACCATCCTCAATCTGATCATAATCCTGGCAAAGGGGATCTACTGCTGCTTTAGGGTATTTCGTAGTAAACTGCGCGGAAGAGAAATAAAAGAAGCCTGCGACTAACAGCAGCACTTGCTACTGCGATCGTGCTGTCGTACGTGGTACAGCTGGTGCATACCTGTCAACACGTAAACGTCCTAGAACACCGCTCTACCACCTGCACTCAAAGCAATGGTACGGAAACATGCACGGTCGCACTAATGGAGGTGTTGAAAATCAACACTCTTAAACAGCAAGCATGTCTGAGGCTCGTAAGCAATAAAACATTGATCGCTAATGTTAAAATACGTTGGAAAGGAACTATACTTGCACTGTGACCGGGAGACCTTATATTTTACGCGCTCCACAAACCTGAATGTGACAAGTAGCAAGCGTTGTCCACGCATGGGTTCGTGTAGTGGAGACAAATGCGCAAAGGTGAACAGTACCAGTATCATCCCCGAGCTCAAACGAGGGAATCATTTTCCTGGTAGGACTGGATGCTATGAGTCATGCGGAGGATTAGGTTGCGATTGCTTCTATCCAAGCTCGGGCTGCCTATTCTACCGCGTATTTGCTACACCAGTTGACACAAAAGTCTATGAGATCTTCCGATGTATGCGCTGGCGTGAACAAATCATGTTGGAAATCATTGTAGAAGGCACCCATATAAGATCGGGCAAGGAAACGCATATAGTGCAAGTAATACCTAATGCTCCTATAACTCTACCATCTCTTCGCCTAACGATGACTTCCCTTATCAATGCCACCAACACCAGCGTTGAGTAGCACGTTCTTCACTGATGGTGAGGACACTGCAGTATGGACAGGGGCCATCACTCCAAATCTCATTTGCGACTCTAGAGAAAAAGCGCAGCGCATGAATTGCACAGTAGTGGATGACTGCAACTGCGCCCCGGCCGAGTCCACTGTTTCATGTCACTGCACGTCAGCACATATATTTACTAGAGAATTCGATCAGCTTCAACATAAACTCCCCAAAAAGACACCCTATTGGGAAATTCGGGGAGCCTTTGCACCTCAGCTACAGAAATTTTTCACGAGGTATTGTGTACTGAACATGCTTTCGTAATCCCGTGCGTGCCACACGGTCCAGAGTCAGAACTGCGCTTCCACCTTGACTCTGCCAG